CTGCGATAATTGATTGTAACAAACGTTTGTAGTCACGGGAAGGCGGCGGCGGGAACCGACGCATTATCATTAACTCCACCGGCCTCGATCCGTTCCCACGGCTCTCGGCCACGCCCCTCTTGTCACATACCTCCATCGCCCCTCGTAGGCCAGGGGGTACTCACGAGACTGCGCTCTAACTTCACCTGTACAAAAGTTCTGTAAATCAAATTGAACATGCTAAGTAAATTAATCATTTTATTCTTGGACTTATTAGAAGCTTACACTTGTCTTTGTGCGTAAACCAACACATTTAACTGCTTATCAACTTTATATATAGCCAATATATATTAGGGATGTAACGATTACCGGTTTGACGATAAATAATGATAAAATTCCCGATGGTTAGTATTATCGTTTCATATTTTAATTATCATTAAAACCGTATTAGATTACCGCGATTTGAACAACTCACGATAAATAAATACTGTCCAGCATAAAGCACAGTAACAGTCTCACGTGCGCACAGCACGCAGAGTAGTTTCGTTTTGAGTGAAAACAGGGAGGGAAAGCTGGGAGGTTTTAAAAGAGTGCTAAGGGAATTATACAAATTAATATATGAATGAATTAATTATATGAATGTACCTCTGAAGGTTCTGACTGTCTTCAGAAACGATTCGATGGCATTTTGTTTTCATCTTCGCTCCATGTAATACCTAAAGGAAGTGTTCTTAATCGCAATACTGCTTTGTCCACGGAGGTTACGGGAAACAGCTTTTCCATAAGCGCCACCTGCTGTCAGCGAGTGGATTTACAGATACTGATATTTACATTCAGTCTGTGTGCAGTTTCTGTCTGGCCAAAAACGGACCAAATTTGCATGCCCTGCTGTAAATTTTGACCGGTTGATGAAAAACAAGCTTATGTGGATTCTACACATTTAAACAATTCAGATAAGTTATCCAGAATTATTTATGGAACAGATAAAATACGTATAATCATTTATTAATCAATTATCATTTTGACTTAACTCTTTTCTTTATTTAAAGGCTGAAATGTGAGGTTTACCTTTTTATGAAACTTTTTCAAAGCTTTATTTGAACATTTACATTAGATATTTGAACATGCTATTAAACTGTTGTCATTTAAAATCCAAACATCATTGGTAATGTTATTGTTTTAGTGATCATGCAAATAAAAAGTCATTTTATTTGTTGATTTTATAAATATAAAACTTGAAGTGATTTATGTGTTGGTACTTTTTGAACATCTCCAGCACATTTTAACAATACCGTGATAATACTGATAACCGTGATAATTTTGGTCACTATAATCCTGATAAGAAATTTTCATACCGTTACATCCCTAATATGTATAGAATTTCAAAACATTTCAAAATTTACCTGGTGTTTTCTCAACCTTTCCTCTCCTCTCATCATAAAAATGGAGCACCACACATGACATAGCCGTTCACATCGCCTCTTTTGCGTGCTCAGGTTTGTTATTTCAAATATAGACGCGCAGCAAGCACACTGCATACTTCTGCACCGCATTACGGCTCTGACGAGGTTTTGTTTCGTCGTCTATGCCATAGCAGATTTATGTTTCTGCCGGCCGGTGCCCACTGCATAACATGCACTTGCAATATCTGAGAAAGAGGGAGAGCATCCAGTTTTGTTAACATAAAATTGGACGCGCCGGCGGCACTCTCTCTCACTCATATAGTGAGGGAAATCCACCTGCGATCCGAGCAGAGAGGTTAAGGCTACTAATGGACTGAATATGTGCTTGCAGTAATAACGTGATCGGTGCCCTATGGTCCACGCTGATAGCTGGTCCGGGGCAGTTTTTTAGTTCTCATCTCCATAAACATATATATAGCAGTCGAGCTAATAGTGGCCGGAAATCTGTTTATCCTTCGGTTCCTCCTGCTTCCCCATCTTCATAGAAAACGCGAAAGAAGGTGGAAATGGCGCGGTCATAATTTCCACGCATTTTTAGACACTGGGAGCAGGGAAAGTGCCTTATTATAGTAATTAAAATATTGATATTTGGTGCCAGATATCGATTCTCGTATCGCATGGAGAAGAACAACGATATATCGCCATATCGATATATTGTCCAACCCCTACTACTAGCTAGACCTTAGCAAATTAATTTGAGATTGTCAAACCTGTTTCTGTCAGTCCTGTTACTTTTCAGGGTAACAGGTTTTGAAATTTGGGTAAGAGGGATGACATAGATTAGGTGTCACCCTGCTTTTAAAGATTGTCTGTGTAAAATGCAAACATGTTTAAAGTTCACCCTGTGTGTAATTTTGAGCTAATGCCTATATCATTCAGTGGCATATGAGCATGAGTTACATTTTAGTTAGTATTGTTGGTAGTGTTACTGTTACTATTGTTGTTAATGACAGGGATAGGATGATCAGTTTCAATAACTCATTTTTTTCCATAACTCATTGTCAAAAATGCATCCATGTAAATTCAATTATAAACAAAAGCAGCAAGGTGAGAGCAGACCTTCACCCCAGTCTTGCAATGTTCAAGAAAGTCAAGTTCTTTGTCTGGTTTCAGATGATCACAGAAAGACCAAGATCTGATCATCTTCCTTTACTAATAAAGTATAAATAAATTACGAATCAGATCCCTTTAGGGCTGTCAAAAAAATATTAGAATTTCAAATATTCGTCAAATGTAAAATACAAATCCACATTCGAATGCAAAAACGTTGCATTCTAATTTTAGGTGTGCATTAAGGAGGCAGCCCTATCAGTGACGCACGAGATGCGATGCCGATGTAAGTGTCATTGCATTTTAATGTTTTTGTTAACCTATCCAGTTGAAGCCACTAGATGCGGCGCTGCTGCGTTGTTAATTACAAATATTGCCGGAAAAGAGAACATCAATGCGGAGAAGATCTTGTTCACGTCAAAACTGAAACCAAGCCGTTCACACAGAACGCATATTTCGTGCATTTTCTAGAGGGACATCTATCACCGTTGCACTCACGTCTCACACAAAAGAACCGCATGTTTAGAAAGCCATATAAAATTTATGCAAGTTCAACTTTGAAAAAAACATATCTCGAGACTTTATGGCGGGGTGCATATTTCGTGCATTTTCTAGAGGGACATCTATCACCGTTGCACTCACGTCTCACACAAAAGAACCGCATGTTTAGAAAGCCATATAAAATTTATGCAAGTTCAACTTTGAAAAAAACATATCTCGAGACTTTATGGCGGGTTTTTTCCCTATCCCACTGCAACTCGTGTTTTTAAATGAAAAATGTACTCCGTGTGATTGGCTTTCGGCCCTTTGTATTAAACTATGCATACACGATGCTGTTTAGTTTATAGTCGTTTAAGCAACTTAATTATAAATGGTTTATAAACATTATTTTAAACATTATGCCCTTTTTTTCACAGATAGTCTGTTTTCTTATGCTTTGAGTACGTGCATTAGGAATATTTTGCTTGATGCGCCCTCTGGTGGACTCAGGAGAAAAGCCAAAAGCTTTTCTTCACCCTAACTGAAATTATGCATTTTAAATTCTAATATGATTCGAATTTTGATCATATTTAAGTAAAAAATTCAAATTTATTTTTTCAGCCATTTTGACAGCACTAGATCTCTTAGAAATGTAATGTGCTAAATCATCAATGATCTGACTTAAACTGAAAAATGGACTGTTTACTATTGTCATACAACTATGCCAAGTAAGTGCAAAACAATATAATGCTATTTAAAATTGTAAAACTGTACAGTATTATGTAAAAAAAATATGTGCAGTGTGCTGAAGAATGTGTGTCCTGTCAGCCCTGTTACTCTGGTCAGTCCTGTGACTATGATGTTAATCCTGTTACTGTCATTAATTTCATAAAAATTTTAAAAAATTATATTTGATACAGCCTTCCAGGTTTTTCCATTTATTTTGGACAAAGCCCTTTTTTAACATCTCTCTTGTAAAAAATATATATATATTTCTTAATTGACATGTGGTCACCCTCCAAAATTAGGATGATGTTCTTGGTCATCTGAATGACAAATATAAAAATATTTTTTAAAAATCCAAAATTTGAAACAATTTCAGTGAAAAGAGGGATTAAAATGCTGCTTGTGTGAAAACTATTACATAGTTCAAATTAAACTATTATCATCTAGCAACGCTTGTGTCGGTAACAGGGTTGACAAAAATATCAAAACATGTAGAAAAATAGCCATAAAATAATAAATTACATAGCTTGAGATGGCACAATACAATTTCTTGTCATTTTAAGGTGTCTTCATTTCATGGATATTTAAAAAATGTTGATTAAACTTATTTTTTTATTTTTCCCAGTGGAAAAGGCACCGATTTCGTGGAATGACACTTTTATATTAATATCTTTATTTCTCAACAGTATTCAGTATTTCCCTCCAGTATTCTAGCATAAAAAGCTCCAGACTATTTGCAGAAAAGCAAGCTACACATTGGGAGATGATGTAAAATCACATCTTGCCATCCTTTACGACAGCATTATGAGTTCATAAGTATACATGAGGAGGTTCAACACCTCCCTCTCACCTCAGGACAAGAGAACAAAAGAGAAACTAAAATGAGGGCAATCATCTCCAATAAATACAGTCTTTAGCCTGTCAATGTTCTCATAAGAGGCCTGCATTTACAGATATTTTTATCAGGGCAAACCCACCAGTACAATAACAGACTTGTACGTAGTCGGCAAAGGCACACAACAACAAGTGAACACAGACACACAGTGTCTCTGTGGTGATTCTGCACCTTTGCTTATTAGTTTCTGTTTTACAAAGATGCTGACATATTGGACACAGGAACTGATTGGATGACCTTTAGGTCAAAAGAGTCTGTCTTCTTATTCAGTATCAGGGTTAGTAATGGAAATCCATTATGAAGCAAAAGGAAGCTCAAAGGGACAGGACAGGAATCAAATGTATTTACTGCTCATCCTTTCAGGTTTATATGTTAGTCTGTGTGGCTGCAATCATTCTTTGACTTACGGTTTTTGCAGCTGTGATGATGTACTGAAGGACCATCTCCCTTTTTGTGCTCAAGTCTTTTTCTCTGAGAGGAGCTTTCTTCTCTTCATTAAGATTCATATCCTCCTGAAAACACAGACCACACATGTAAGAGAAGAAAAATACATCTCTTTACAAGAAAAATCCTCTTAAGATCGTCGGTATTGTGACCAGCTTTATGAGATTCTCCATCATAAGTGGCAAAACCTCTGACCCCAAACACAAGGGTCTTTCAAATCATATACTGATTTCAAAATATTTCTAATCAAAAGAAAATAGTACTGGAGTTGCTGGTTGTAAACATAGTGGAGAAAGGCAAAGAGCATCTTTGCATCTTGACTTTTCAATGCTTACATGAATCAAATCATGCCTAACACCTGTTCTTTTTGGAACTGCAAATAAATTAAACCGCAGGAAGTCAACCTCTGCTTGTGAATTCATCAAGCAGATATGACTTTAAGAAAAAGGAAAGGAGATGAAAATGACAAAAACAAAGAATACTGATAATGCATCTTAAGCAAAAAAAATATATAATTTTTATAATCATTCATATAGACTGACTCCACTGAATACTCCACTTTTGTGGGAACAACAGAAAAGGTTTGACCACCCAATGCTCTCCACTGCATTTTTATTACACATAGAAAAATGGTCACAAATGTACACACATTCAAAATTTATGAGCATGTAAGCCTTTTCACATCACTACACACCCCATCTAATATTTTTAATACTTAAACTGATTAATGTCTCAAAGGTGTTCCAAAAGGACCCCTTTTTGAGTGACTAGGTAGCTATATGCAATTTTCTTCCCCATCAAAACTGTTGTTGTAATTTATTTCAGAGTGTCAGCTACTGTTGTATACATTTTCTATATATTTAGTTCTATAGATTTTCTATATATTTATTATGTTAGGTATCATTTCATTTGTCTTAAACAAATGTTGTAATTCTACTGTTATGCTGGGTTGCTAAAGGTTAAAGCTGATTGTAAAAATATGCCTGGTTTTCTGCAGGAGTCACTGAGTGTTTTGATGAAACACTTTAAAAATTAAAACAGTTAATGAATAAAGGGCCATTTTTTGCTCAATTGTCATAAGATTGGCTATTCTAAATATCTGTTGTCTATGTGGACACATTTTTTGTGTGCGATTTTGTGAGATCTTTTGAAAATTAGTACCTAATACAAGCCTGACTGATGAAGTCATGAATTATGTATTAGAAAATCTAATGGGCCAATTTCTGAAAAGATTAGAAATTAACAGTGAAACAGAAATGAGCATGTTCATAAATCTGAACCTGTTGTACTGCTAAAATAGACATTGGCAGATATATTTGGCAATTCTACTTCCCAGATTACTGAAGCAACAGTCCTGTGCCAAAACAAACTAGCGAGCTGCACTTCTCAAACTCACTATCTCTGACAGAGATGGAGACAGAGAAAAGAACTAGGGTGCATCCGTGGACAGTTTACAACTACCATCAACAGAGAGAAAGGGCAAGGAAATCTCTAGGCAAAAGACAGAACAATAAAATCGATAAGAGAGAAGAAAAGAAAGAGATGAGAGGGAAAGACAATAACGGCTGCATACGATGTTGAGCGCAACTGTCCTAGTGCCCTCCAGCCTTATTTCCCTTTCCCCACAGCACTCTCTCTCCCTTTCTTCCCTTTTCTGAGATGATAGATCAGCAGAGCCGTTTAAGATTTCACTGATGGGTTCGCAGGTGTGATGCAGTCCTCGTGTGTCAGAGAGAAAGAGAGAGGAGGATGCTGGGATAGGCGCGGATCCATTACCACCGTTGGACCTGTCACCTCTTCTGGCATGCTCATGTATCCAAACTCATACTTGCTGTGACTAATGACTGCGTCTCTGCCCACGTTATCCACACTCTTCCTTCTCTACCCAGCAGTGGCTGCTCCTGTCACTTAATCCTGCGCTCGGAGATGCTGCTCAACTGCTAACACCACCTCCACTCTAAGAAAGGGCACTGACGAGGACCTCCGTACGACAGCACTAAGGCAACGGAAGACTGTGCAATGTTTTAAAATCATACTTGTGGGAAATTTGATGAAATAGATGTGCTTGAGATGAACGTGTAAAAAACGTGCAACGGAATTCAGTTAACTTTCAACAGCTGTAGATTGTTGTAGCTGTAGAAACCTGAAGGATTGAGAAAAGTCAAAAAAGTTTGTAAAGTGAATTTTTTTTACATTTAATTTGACAAACATATTAGTACAATACATTAAAATAAATTAAAATTCTAGTGAACAGGCATTCTACAAAATTATTTTTGTTATAAATGTGCACTTTTTGTCTAAGTCCAAATCAAAACTAGACTGTAGGGGTTATTTTCTTTTTGTGCATTTTCTTTTATTTACCACAACAAGCTAAGCTGCTTGCAAACATTTGTCAGTGACTGTATGATGCATGTTCAATATGATACAAAAGTGAGTAAGTGTTTGAGTATGCATGTATTTATAGGCATGAGGGCCTCGTCCTACTATGAATACGAGCTGATTGAGGTCAGTGACCCATAACAATCCATTTCATCATGAAAAGGTTGCGTTTCCATAAAACATAATTGCAAATAAACCTCTAGTGATTATTGTGGTTGAAAGGTTGATAAAGGTCATTGAGTAGGAGTGATAATTAGATGTTTTTTTACATGTCCACAGTACGTGTACAATGGCATGAATGCAGATCAACAAATACTTCACTCTCACAGAATGTTTGTTTTTATTTACGAATGTGTGTTTCACAACATAATTCAAAGTAAATGTTTTTGTCTACAATTACATCTTACCATCATTTTCTCAAAGAGGGCAAGGATTTCCTTCTCTGATGTGATCTTTGAAGAAAGCTCCTCAAATTCAGAGGAAGTGGACCAGTCATCAAAAGAGGAATGCTTGGACATGTGGGAGAGGGGTGGCCGTTCCTTTTTACTGCCAGGGATCCGGATACTGGAAAATCTGTCCAGCTAAAAGAAAGATTAGACATTTAAGAGAGTATGAGTGAGACTAGCTCAATGGTAATTATTAGTAGGGCTGAACGATTTTGGAAAACAATCTAATTGCGATTTTTTTTTTACCAATATTGCGATTGCGATTTAACATGCAATTATTTTTTTTAAAGCTCTTTATATTCTGTATTATTCAACAAAGACAAGCTATAAATCATTGTATAGTATGACCAACGCACTATTAGATAGATTAAACATAAATGTTCTTTTCTGTAGGCCAGGCCTATATGTTACGATGAAATTAGGTGATGCATGAATTGATATGAATGACATTTTTATTTAACAACTACAATCACAGTATATTTACTGTAATAAGTATGACAACATAAAGCACTGACAAATAAGCCTGGTGTAAACATTAATGTGAAAGTCAGTAACAAATCACACAATCTAAAGTAGATTGCAGAAATATAAAAACAAATCTGTTGCTTTACCACACTACTTTAGGTAATTCATAGTCACTGTAATAAACATATGTAAACATGTGGACTGCTTGCCTTGTTCTATTTATGACATACTGACACAAAGTTAAAATGATTTGCAGCCGTCACTTTGCCGCATCCAGTGTAGAGCTGTTGCGGCGCGGTATAGACACAGTGAGTGAAGCCGAGAGCAAGATATGCCTCGTCATATTTTCTGTATTTATCTTTTGAATGACCAGCACCTGCCTGGGTCTGTGCGACTTCATCTATGGCTTTTCTCTTTGCTTTCACAAACCGATCCATCTCCCATTCTAAGTTACGTCCTTTGGCTGTTTACTTATTTCTTTTCTTTTTCTGCTGATGGCCTGCGCCCGACTTGAAGCAGCACTGCTTAGACCGATGGGTGTGTGTCATCAAAGTACTGAGAGAGCTATAAGAGAGCGCGGACGTCTCCTTATGCTTTCTCTCGCCGTACTTTGATGTCATACACCGATCTGATCTTCAAGTCGAACACACCTCTTTACTCTCGCGTGTCACGTGACCGAGTAATCGCAGCCTCTGCGATTGAAAAAACTAAAATTTTCAAATCGCGATATTATCGCAAATGCAATTAATCTTTCAGCCTTAATTATTAGTCTATTGATTATTTCTCCATTAAGGTAAACATACAAAATATTCAATATAATTCAAAACTAGTTCACAGACAATGTTACAAAAGCATTCAATATCAAAATAAATTCTATTTATCAAAAAATTCTGATCTGAAAGGTATCATAGCTTCCTTAAAAATATTAAATGGTTCAGTTTTTTTTCTAGGCTTGATTGTGTTATGGGCTGCAGTCTGATATATGTTAATGCTTCGTTTAAAAAAAATAAAAAAAATAAAAAATACGCATTATTTTTCACATAATTTACCTTTATTCCACACCACTCTGTCCCTTCTCTGAGAAACGCGCTGATAATTTCCTGTTTTTATGAAGCCCCGCCCTCAGAAATAGCGATGGGCTCTGATTGGTTAGCTAGTCCAGTGTGTTATGATTGGCTAAACCGCCTCTAGGGCGTGTCTAAACATCCCGCCCCTCACCTCAGTGGCATGTGCTCCGGTTGTATTGTAAACAACGGCATAGTTAATATTTCTTCTGTAAAGCAGAGCAGCATGGCCCCGCCCCCTTTGCTGCCTTTTCCCGAGGGCGGGGTTTATCTGGGTTTGTTACGTCACGAACCCGGGAAGTAACTTCTTGTATTCCCTACCAGCCGTTTTTGTAGGCATTAAACTGCCAGAATTTTAAAAGGTGAAATCTCCATTTGCATTGAAATTTCAGCTTCGTAACTTTGCAGATATTGTTTATGCTCAAACAGCAACATTACACACTAACGTTAAAAAAGTGAAATCGCAATCAACCACCCCTTTAAGCAACAACTGTGTTCAACTGTGATAATAAGAAATGTTTGCATGAGGACTGAATCTGCATATTAGAATGATTTCTGAAGGCTCACGTGACACTAAAGACTGCATTAATCTCTGCTGAAATTTTATATTTTAAAATATATTAAAACAGAAAAAAAGATACTTTAAATTGTATTTTGTATATATAAAATATATATTTTGTTAAACATGTATAAAAAGAAAATGTATAAAAATGTATACATAAATATTATAAAAATAATTACATTACATTACAAAAACAAATGTTTCTCACAAAACACCAAATTATTAATAAGAAAACAAAAGCACAACAAACTGTGGCAAAAACACACATTCCCTCCTCATATTGCATTACTCTACTTTTTTAATAATAATGTTATTATATAACACTATTAGTGCTGTCAAAATTTGCACATTAACGCAGGGGATTAATTTTTCCAGTTTAAAGGTGTTACAAATATTTAACAGCGTTAACGCAAGGGCGGACCTAGGGTTGGCCACCACACTCACAACTGCTGCTTTTGTCTCTTTTTCTTGACAAGAATTGCATTTATTTAGATGCAGAATGTATTTACGAGCACATCAAACGAGAGACTTCGAGATGAGCACTCCACTTCGCCTCAGCGCAAACGAGTGGAATAAAATGAGTGCAGAAATGATACAGGTGACAAGGAGCTTCAATAGAACAGTGAACTGCAGTCAGATGAGATGTTGTCAGGCCATGTGTTAGTAAAAACAAATCTTCCTGTCCTGTCAGCCGTTATACTGGGCTCGTAGTGTGTGCTCATCAATTACATGCACAAATACGGCAGTGTGCAAATGAAACTGTGCATGCATGTCAGATCCGCGTCGTGTTCAGCAGCGGCAGCTCTTAAAGTAATATCAGCCAAATAACCGAATAACCCAGCTGCTGTGATGTCTGTTAATCAAATAAACAAAAAAGCGTTTGATAACTTCATTCAATTTCTGTACTTGCTGAAGGGCACAGATATCACATTTATTACAATGGGTTTATGTGAAGATTGTTTGAGTTCACTTAAATTAGAAGCTGTTATTTTTTAAAGTCTAATAAATGTTCAAATTGATAGCTCTCAATTATACTGTAATGTTGAATGGCTATAGTTAATGGTTAAATATTAGTAAAAATATATTTCCTAGAGACATCAGTAATAATGGTATCAGTGATACTCACCTTCAGTCATAAAAAAAGATGCCATTAAACAAATATTAAAAATATACTGCCTTTATGTTGTTTCTACATTAATTTGAAGATTGAATATGAAATTACTGCAATATAAAAGTATATTTAAAAACTTAGGTCGGATTAATCAATTAATCGCAATTAATTTCAGAAAAATTTTGATTAATTAGTTCATTTTTTAATAGATTAACAGCACTAAATATTATTAATAAATTATTATTAGTAGTAGTAACCAGTTTTATTATTATTATTATTATTACTAAAACATCCCCAAAAGTTTTTCCATCACCATTATTATAGCTCTGCAGTTGTGAATAAAGGGCAACACTGCACAAACTAGTCAAACAGACAGAATGTAATGTGTTAATAGCTCTATAGACTGTTGATGAGGTTAAAACTTTTGCAACAAGGCAACAAATCTAAGGCACAGCGGTCTTGTACATACCTACTAATGGCCTCAAAAGACCGGCCTAAACTGAACAGAAGTTCAAAAGCTTTCACATCTTTATCAAACACCCACTTTAGCACTGTGAACTTTATGATCAGTTTTAGCTTCCTTATTGTAAGCAGACTTTCATTAGAAGTCTGTCAGCTTCACATTCAGCATGCCTAACAAACAGAGCATCCAGGGATACAGTGTAACTCGCCGTCGATTTATATCGAGGTGGTGGGCCCCCGCATCACACAGATAATGATTTCCTAATTGGATTAGATTTGTCAGAGAGCTGTTTTCTCTCTCTCGGCCTGTGGGCGCAACAGGGAGAAGATGGGCGATTGAGATGTCAGCGTTGGCTGAAAAGGTAGGTGGTTTATTTTCAGGGGCCTTGCCCCCTTTCTTTCGAGGGGTGGGTGAATTAGCAGCAGTTATCTTAGAAAATATATTTTTCACCGACGCCACCCATCGCGCATTATCTCAGTAAGAAGGAGAGCAACACGCTGAGATAATCAGCAATGACACTGATGTAAAATTAATTAAACACAAGCAGTAGATCAGTGTAGCTAGCGACTACAGTGCACGGAGCCAACGCAGGGAGCAAATGCATGGTGTCTGATACCAAACGACACCATCATCTGTCTAATTTGGTTTGCTGCTGCCCTAAAGCGTCTCTTCGCTACATTGAGTGATGGCACTGATCAATTTAATCACAGAGATTCATCCCCAGTGGTGGGAAGAAGCGCTTTGCTATTCTACACTCGTTACTGGTGAATAGATAAATAAATATGTGCAGCCGCTACCTCGATAACAACAACAGGCATCATACCGCAGCCGAAGCAAGCTGATCTAGATGATGAAGTGCTTTTCAGGGCTGTTTAGGTGTTTATGAGTGAGCCTGCACCTTACTTTCATGCAATCTCTCTCTCCCTTTCTCACCAACAGACACTTTGATGTTACTAATGGCTCCATTCCCCTTCATTGCTCTTCTGATCACTCCACCAGACCCCTCTTCAGTAATTCAGCCTCAGCACCAAAACACATTTCTACCATGACCAAACAGCAGCCCTCACTTGGAAAAAAGCCCTCCATTATCTAAGGACATGATTCACTCATCGAAAACATGTTCTACACCATTCTGACACCCCACAAATTCCACACAAAAATGCATCTGTTAATTCAACATTCGTCATTAAAGGAGTAGTTAACTCAAAATAAAAATTTGCTGAAAATAAACTCACCCTAAGGCTACTCAAGGTTTACAGTAGATGAGTTGGTTTGTTCATTTTGACAAATTTAGAATTGCATAACTTGCTCACCAATGGATCCTCTGCAGTGAATGGGGGCCATCAGAGTCCAAACAGCTGATAAAAGCATTACAATGATATATTAAAAAATTCACGACTTCAGTCCATCAATTAACATCTTTTAAAATGAAAGCTGCATGTTTGTAAGAAATAAAATCATTAAGGCATT